CACTTGCATGACTTAACTGGGCAAGGTCGCAATGGCCTCTTATTTCCACTCTTTGCTTCTCTAGAAGAGAAAACAATAATTTAAAATGGTTGTAATACCTGTTTGTTACTGAAGATGTAAGATGAATAATATGATTAGTGAAAAGGGATTTCTTGATACAAAGAATAGGCTGTTTTAGATGAATTTATATACAAAAAACATATTGGCCTTACAACATCCACATTTGCATTTTCACAACAGCTTAATATTTTACTCACTATTTGTGATTATGAGGCAGCATGGACATTACATACCAAAAAAACTATTTACTACATTTCTATTGTAATAATCGAGGCGCCCACTACTGTTAGAATGAAGCTGGTGCTAGGGCAAAAAGAATAAAATCATTGAAAAGCAGGATAATGTCGAACAATGCCTCTTCCTTTTTGTAGTCATTGTTCTATCTGCCTTTCTTTGTTGCTTGGGCGAATCACAATCTTTGTTCTGATGAGTAGGGCTACTGTAATAATCTTGATATTACTTTTTTCTCTTGCCGATTACTTAGGACTTTTCTAATTTAGATTAAAAGTAAGAAATTCAATTACATTCTCATGGATGTTACATCAGAAAGAACCACACACTGTACAGTCACAGTGCTTGCAAAGTAGCATTTTTCCAAGTTTTTTTATTTAAAAAAGTACAATACATGGAATTTTGGAAGTTGTATGTGTTTTAAAACCACAAAATTTAGGAAATGAATATCTTTAACAATGAAATAAATATTTTTTAGAGATAGTTCAACTAAGAACAATGCATTGTATCAACAAATTTGGAAATATTACTAAAAGTTTTCAAATATGAATGATCAATGCACACTGATATCTATTTATTGACACAACTATATACATGTATCTCACCTGATTCTTTTGCTCTTTTCTTGAAGTCTTATTTTTGAGACATCTTCCTTTTTGAGTTTGTGAAAAAACTTCAAATGGTTCGCAATGTGTGTGTAGTTTTCGTTACAAATCTGTAAAATGAATAAAACACACAATAAAGTTATGGAAAATACAAAATATTTTTACAGGACCTACATGCTGAGCTCCACATCCATGAATCACTAAAATAACAAACAATTCCCTTTGCATGGCAATCAAAATAATATACCGAGTCATAAATTATGTCACTAGAAAATCAAACTTTGATATGAACTATAAGTCAACAGAAGTGATGCAGCTTTAAATATCACCATGGTAACCCGACTGTATATATGACTGCTTTTTGATGACTTATTTATTAATTTTTTGGATTTAACTTACGGAGACGACATTAATCTGTATTATGCTGATAACAAACAGTATTACTTACTGGACATTTGTATCGATACGTCTTTTTCGAGCCAGGCTGTTTTGGTGAGTCTGAACCCACGTGGCATCTGGCGCTTGTGTCTTCTAACTCTTCATCATGTGGCTTTTCGAATTCTGACTCTGAGAAATCATCTTCAACCCGACCATCGAGTACACGGAGCACTTTCTGTGCCTCGCTCTTCATTTTCATTCTAATAACTTCAATTGCATCGCCATTAGTGGGCTTAAGATCGCGTGTATCACATGTGCCGCTTTGGTGAAATGACTGTAACAGCGTTTCCACATTTTTGAGGAATTTGGCACGAAGGTCTAGACCTATTTCGTTCGCAACTCTTCTTTCAGCTCGTAACTGTCCCAGGAAATCACTGTTCTCAAACCTTGGCCTGTAGTTAAAAAACATTTTGATGGAATTAGGATGTTGCTTCCACTCATGTAGATGCCGTTGCTATTCCATCGAAATAGAGCCTTCGAGTTATTGGGTCAGCGATACCTAAAGAAGTCTCTCTTGCGGGCGTTAACATTTTCGGCCAGCATCCATGCCC